AAAATCGATCACCGATAAGTGACATAATCTCAATTAAACAAAGACAAAAATGACGTCATCGACAAAATACATTTGTTTGAGTTTAGATGCCAATATGATGACTTTATTTCACTTTGTACGAGTCAGGGTGGTATAAAATTATATCTCCATCTTATGCTTTATCCAACCATGATATAAAAATTGGGGGTCGACGGACTATCTGAAGAGCTATTTCGATTTTTAAAATGGCATGTTTTTGATCAAATTTGCATTATATTGCCCATAGCAGTACGCGCGGATTTTGAACTTTGACGCACGCTCACGGCCTTATGAAATATGAAGAGTGACTGAAAGTAATGTAAATTGTCAATTACGTTAAGAGGAATCCAAATCATGTAAACATTTTGAATTTGACCCTTTCCGCGCGCTGTGAGCGCGCACACCGCGCGCGGTGACACGTACGGACGGAAAATTTTGAAATGCTTAAAATGACCTGATTCGTACTCTCGTTTAATAGTTAAGTGATTTTGAGCATTTTAAAATTTTGACGCGCGCGTACGTGCGCGTCATGACCTTTATGTGACCTTTGATGACATGACTTGTTGACCCTTGACCTGAAGTATATGTGATATAAATATGAATGACCTTTGCTTATGCATCATGAAGATATGATGGATAACGTGATTTCACAAAATGGCGCCTGGATGACGTCACGATGACCTGATGACCTTGAAAAGGTTACTGTCACGTCTCATGACAATGACCTATGACTGTGTCAAAATTGAAAGAAATTAACACAACCGATCTTGAGTTAACCGATGAACAAAAAACGGGGAGAAATAAAAATAAATAATAACTAGAATTTAATTCGTCACGAAGACGAATAAGGTGGTCTGTCTATGTCTTATGACAAATTTGAGAATGGGAGAAGTTATATAGACATGTAAACAATGATGATCATGATGAACATGATGATAATCATGATAGTAAAGGTGATGATGATGATAATGATAATGTTATATGATGATAAAAACGATAATGTTAATGATGATGATGACCATAAGCATAATCCTGACATCTGATTGAAAAAAATGAGGAAATATTTAAATAGCAAATAGTCTCAGCTACAACATACTAAAATTTGGGAGAAAACTGTTGAATAATAACCGAGATACTGGTCAAAACACATTGTCATGCAGATACATGTTTTGACAAAAGTGACCTCCCATAGACGTAACACGCAAATATGACAAATTATGCATTGTCGCCTTTAATCGAATATTTCACTATGATGACGTCATTTAAATGAAGAATAAAGAACATATTTCTGGTAGAGAATTAGCTCAGCTACAACATATCAAAATCTGGGAGTAAATCGATTACCGATAAGCGAGATAATCTCAATTAAACAAAGACAAAAATGACGTCATCAACAAAATACATTTTCTTTAGTTTAGATGCAAATATGAAGATTTTTTTTCACTTTGTACGAGTCAGGGTGGTATGAAATCATATCTCCAGCTCATGCTCTTTCCAACCATGATATAAAAATTGAGGGTCGACGGACTATCTGAAGAGCTATTTCGATTTATAAAGTAGCATGTTTTTGATCAAATTTACATTATATTGCCCATAGCAGCACGCGCGGAATTTGAACTTTGACGCGCGCTCACGGCCTTATGAAAGGTCAAGAGTAACTGAAATTAATGTAAATTGTCATTTATGGTAAGAGGAATCTAAATCATGTAAACAAATTGAATTTGACCTTTTCCGCGCGTTGTGAGCGCGCGCACCGCGCGCGGGGACAAGTACGGATGGAAATTTTTGAAATGCTTCAAATGACCTGATTCGTACTCACCTTTAGTAGTTAAGTGATTTTGAGCATTTTAAAATTTTGACGCGCGCGTACGTGCGCGTCATGACCTTTATGTGACCTTTGATGACATGACTTGTTGACCCTTGACCTGAAGTATATGTGATTTGAATATGAATGACCTTTGCTTAGGCATCATGAAGATATGATGGATAACGTGATTTCACAAAATGGCGCCTGGATGACGTCACGATGACCTGATGACCTTGAAAAGGTTACTGTCACGTCTCATGACAATGACCTATGACTGTGTCAAAATTGAAAGAAATTAACACAACCGATCTTGAGTTAACCGATGAACAAAAAACGGGGAGAAATAAAAATAAATAATAATAAATAAATAAATAAATAAAGAAAGAAAATTCTGACGAAAACAATAGGTGATCTGTCGTTGACAGACCACCTAATAAATAAATAAATAAATAAATAAAGAAAGAAAATTCTGACGAAAACAATAGGTGATCTGTCGAAAACGACAGACCACCTAATAAACTAGACATTTAATTCGTCATGGGGACGAATTAGGTGGTCTGTTTTCAATTTTATGATCATTGAAAAGTCAAAAAAGAAAAAAAAAGAAGAAAAACAATTGTTGGAGACTCCCGGACTCGAACCAGGGATCTCGAGGTCCGAAGTCAAGTGCGTTACCGATATACCAAAACATTTCCCATAGCGATTACACGTAAACGAGAAATGGAATTCTCAAATCCCACGTTGCAAGTGAAATATGAGCATCATCTCGGCATCTGATCGAAAAATAAAGGGCACACTAGTGATAGCTTATTGTCTCAGCTACAACATACTCAAAGCTCAGCGTAAACAAAGATAAAACGACGGAGATATTGCTCGCGAAAGACGAGAATGTAGAATCCAGTTTTGAGAAAAAGTCATGTCCCATAGAGAATACACGCAAAATGTGAAAAATTGACATGCCTCCTTTAATTGCAAAAATACGCCATGATACCTTTGTCAAAATGAAATATCGCGACGACTGCATTTGTAGAGAATATTCTCAGGTAAAACATATCAAAATTTGAAAGAAAAATAATCAACATTCACAGAGATACAATAAATTTTCCAAAAATCTGCTGACGTCATAATATGAAAATTAAAATTTTGAGTTTGGAGGCCATTATGATGACGTCATGAGTTAATTGAGGGTCAAATGAGACATGAAATCATATCTCCAAATCATGCTTTTTCCAACCATGATATAAAAGTTGGGGTCAATGGACTATCTGAAGAGCTATTTTGATTTTTAAAATGGGATGTTTTTGATCAAATTTGCATTATATTGCCCATAGCAGCACGCGCGGATTTTGAACTTTGACGCGCGCTCACGGCCTTATAAAAGGTAAAGAGTGACTGAAATTAATGTAAATTGTCATTTACGGTAAGAGGAATCTAAAACATGTAAAAAATTTGAATTTGACCTATTCCGCGCGTTGTGAGCGCGCGCAACGCGCGCGGGGACACTTACGGACGGAAAATTTTGAAATGCTTAAAATGACCTGATTCGTACTCTCGTTTAAAAGTTTAGTGATTTTGAGCATTTTAAAATTTTGACGCGCGCGTACGTGCGCGTCATGACCTTTATGTGACCTTTGATGACATGACTTGTTGACCCTTGACCTGAAGTATATATGATATTAATATGAATGACCTTTGATAATGCATCATGAAGATATGATGGATAATGTGATTCCACAAAATGGCGCCTGGATGACGTCACGATAACTTGATGACCTTGAAAATGTTTCTGTCACGTCTCATGACAATGACCTATCACTGTGTCAAAATTGAAAGAAATTAACATAACCAATCTTGAGTTATCCTATGAACAAAAAAGTGTAGGAAATAAATAAAAATAAAGAATAAATAAATAAATAATAATAATAATAAAGAAAATTCTGACGAAAACAATAGGTGATCTGTTTTCAACAGACCACCTAATAAATAAAGAAAGAAAATTCTGACGAAAACAATAGGTGATCTGTCGAAAACGACAGACCACCTAAAAAGTGCGTTGCACTGTGTAGATAGTACTATTATCTACACAGTGCAACAAACGTTTGTTCTTCCATCAATGATGGGCGAACTATCTTTCATCACATGCTTTATTTTTGACCAACCGTAGCACAAGATTCTTTGTATGTGGAATATAAATACACACAGCCTCAACTCGAGTGCGGATAGATAGTATAATGAACTCGTGCGCATGCATATTTGTATACTATTAACTACGACCACTTCCACTGCTAGTATCATACAACTGCTCCTGCTATTACATTTACTACGACTTCTAGTACTACTACTACTACTTTACTACGTCGACCACCATTACTACTACTAATATCGCTTCTACTACTGCACTACAGGGAGTCACGTAATTCCATTCTTACCACTACTACCCATCTAATATCTACTACTTCTACTACTACTACTACTACTACTACTACTACTACTGTACAACTGCCACTTTTCATTCAACTACGACTGTCTTGCTACTACTGCTACTACTACTACGACTACTAATACCTCTACTACTACTACTACTACTACTACTACTGATACTACTTCTACTACTACTATTGTACTACTAATAATACTCTTACTGTTCCTAAAACTACTACTACTACTACTACTACTACTATTGTACTACTACTACTACTGCTCCTAAAACTATTATTACTACTACTGTTATAGTACTTCTACTACTACTACTACTGTACTACCACTCCTAAAACTACTACTACTACTACTAATACTACTACTACCGATATTGTACTACTACTACTACTACTACTACTACTATTGTACTACTACTACTACATGCTCCTAAAACTACTACTACTACTACTGTTGTAATACTACTACTACGACTGCTCGTAAAACTCCTAAATTTACTACAACAGCAAGTACCACTTTAATAATGCTCCTACAACAACTACTACTACTACTACTACTACTACGTACAACAACGACATCCACAACATTAACTTCTACTCATATGACTACTACCACTTACGACTACGACGACTACTACTGCTACTTTTTGCTAGTTAAATTATTTTGTTATTACGGTTAATTAATAATTCCATAAAAATTACAATCATAATTATGACTATTCAATTCTACTTTCCTATAGAGTGGCGTAAATATGTCAGCGGAAACTCTCGTAGTTGGCTCCAGCTATATAGAGCTTTCATCTCCAAATGTCATCATTCGGGCAACACCTGCAAGTCGACGTTGATCGTGTATTATGAGCAACTCAAACTGCATCTCAAGGACGAGCTGCGACGAATCCTTGAATACTTGCATATAACCATAGATGAAGAAAGGCTTGCATGTGCAGTTACGAATGCAGAGGGTCAGTTTCATAGACCAAAGAGGAATACAACCTTGGATCCATTCTCAAAGGAAGACAGAAGTTTGGTGGAAACATCTTTGAATTTGTATCGCGATTTGATTGACCTGGAAGGTTTAGAGGAACCACCGTCATCGCTTAGTTCATATCCGAGTGATTTATAGAGTTGAAGACCCACTAATTGACTTGGCTCTGTCAGTAGAGCGTCCGCCTCACAACCGGGAAGGTCGTGGGTTCGAACCCCGGCCGCGTCATACCAAAAGATGTTTAAAGATGGGAGTTGTTGCTACCTTGTTTGGCGTTCAACAATAAGGGATAGAGCAACGTCGATCTGGCGCTGCTCAGTGGCTGTCGGGCTCACGATCAATTGGGCAAAAAGAATTTCCGTTTCGGTTAATAAAATTTGGAGTGGACTATTAGGCTATTATTATTATTATAATCATTCATCTTTTGACACGATAAATCATGATGATCCTTTTATACCAATTTTCTCATTATGGTATTAGAGGAAGGGCTAAGGAGTGGTACATGAACTATGTAACAGGCATGGGTGTCGATCTGTAACTGATACCTATTCATCATGGGGGGGGGGATTATCTATTCATTCATCCCCCCCCCCCCTGATGAATAGGTATTACGTAAGGATCGACACCCATGGTAACAGGTATTACCCAATATGATTTTGTTAATGGCTGCGAATCTCACATGGAAGAGATCACATGTGGCGTAACACAAGGATCACTACTAGTTCCCCTACTATTCATTTAGTATATAAACAACTTAAAACGATCTTATAACATGTTATCATTCATTGCCATGATTATGCATAATTATTATTGATCCCAACGAAGATAGTTTTGTTTTATTACTGATGCGTGACTAGCAACGGAAAGTAATTTTTCATTCATATTTACCATGATTAAGATCAATATCCGTCCGGTCAATTTCAGGTCAAAAAATGCACGCAAAAATGCGCGTACGCGTATGTCCGCGCGTTTACGCGCGCGAATTTTTTTTTTTTTTTACATACGTTTTAGGCCATATGGAGCATTTGATAAAAAAAATTACGCACACGCGCATGCGCGCGCGTTTTCGCGCGTACTGGCATTTTGCAACATAGAATCGCCGATTTTTTTCTGTCATCATATTTGGTACATTTTTCCAAGCATTTTGATAACTTGTTCACCTTTTAATAACGCAATGAGCGTCCGTCAAAGTTGACAGCACGCGCGGATTTGCGTTATCTTTATCCACAATACATGGGCAAAAACATGCCTATATAAAATTCATTGTAACTCTTTAGAATAGATAGAAACTCCTCATTTGATCCTCAATTAACTCATGACGTCATCATAATGGCCTCCAAACTCAAAATTTCAATTTGCATATTATGACGTCAGCATATTTTTGGAAAATTGATTGTATCTCTGTAAATATCGATTAATTTTCTTTCAAATTTTGATATGTTCTAGCTGAGACAATTTTCTACGAATGCAGTATTCACAATTTTTATTTTTGACAAAAGTATCATGGTGTATTTTTGCGATTAAAGGAGGCATGTCATTTTTTCACATTTTGCGTGTATTCTCTATGGGACATGACTTTTTCTCAAAACTGGATTCTACACTCCTGTCTTTCGCGAGCAAAATTTCCGTTTAGCTTCGTTTTCGTTGAGCTTCGGATATGTTGTAGCTGAGACAATGAGCTATCACAAGTGTGCCTTCTTTTTCGATTAGATGCCGGGATCATGCTCATATTTCACTTGCAAAGTAGGATTTCAGAATTCCATTTCCCGTTTACGTGTAACCGCTATGGGAGATGTTTTGGTATATCGGTAACGCACTTGACTTCCAACCTAGAGATCCCTGGTTCGAGTCCAGGTGTCTCCAACAATTTTTTGCTTCACTTTTTTTTCCTTTTGACCTTCACTGTACCATCTCCTTTGATTATTTAAACACGTCTAATCTTAAATGTATCGACCTTTGATACTCCAGACCTACAGGCAAACGATTTAGATGACATATTGTATGATCCCACGGGCAGTGGAAACTACCTCGCACTTTTGGTCATCTTAACGTGTATTCTTTGCTCAAGGCCCCAATTCAATTCCAAATTTCCAACGTTATTTAAATTACACGAGGGTTTGTATCTTTCTACAAAATACACGATAAACAATTAGCCAAAAATAACCTCGTGTCAAGTTTAGCTGAATGAATGCGGGTATTATTCGATGGTCAAAAGTTTGTAAAACGACTTTGAATTAAAGGGAGACAAAAATCTTTTCTCAAAGTTTGTTCGTTGATGCAGGGAAGCAGGGCGCGATCCAGCCGGGGCGATTTTCAACAACATGAAGCAAATAGTAAGCATTTAAAAACTTCAGATGCCTGTTTGATTATGATTTAAATTTGAGTGTATGCCTCAATCATATAAAGAGAATATAACCACTAATTTCGCTGAAACGATTCTCCTCCTTCCCCTTCTTCTTCATCTTCTACTTCCTAGTAGTAGCAGTTGGAGTAGTAATAGCAGCAGTATCATAATAATCATTGTTATATTTATGATTATAGTAAATATCGTAAATATATTCTTTATTATAAAGCTTATTTTTTATTATCATTCTTATAGTTATTTGTATGCTTCTTCCTCTGAACATAATTATCGTATACACAATACGTCATGTGCCAAGAATTTATTGCTATGATACATCCAAGATGTCTATCAAAACTGTCAATTCGTTGCTGAAAAAATTAAGCCAAAAGAAGGAACATTAGAATTTCTATTTTAAATTGAAATAAATTATATAGGAGAAATAAATAGAGAATACAGTCATGATTTTGGAACTAGGGGATTAACATGGACATAATGCACTTGTTTACATGACCACATTATCTCTTATTCATTCTACCTCCAATGTTTTCAGACTGTTTTCAAAACAATATCATGTTTGTCGATCATAGTTTTATGTAGCTTGATGTCTCATGGTAATTTAATCAATCTAAGCAACAATTTTTGAATTTTAGCGACAATCGTTCATCATTGCTGCTCTTTAATACTATTATGACGTGCAGTAACAAGTTGAAATTTCAGAACTCATGATAAATTCATTTAACAGTTGATTCTACTTGGTTGATTCTATTGTTCGGATTATTTAGCAGAACGAGATAGAAATTGACATTCTCATGGCTAACGACTTTGCGTTCGTAGTTGTTCATCGTCTATTTGAACAATATTTGGTGACAAAAGACGGCATTTCTATGTAGCTTCAAAGGCCATCAAATAACAAAAGCATGGCACATGAAAAGATCCTCAGTACTGGGTCTGATTTAAAGAAAACTTAATTTGAACCGGACCATATTCTGTCTCTCTCTCTCTCTCGCTCTCGTTTGTCATTGCCTTCATTTTCCTCGCGTACTCTATTCTTACCACGGAATATGTAATGTTAATGCACGTGTATGCCTCAATCATTGAGAATATACTCACTAATATCGCTGAAATGATTCTTCTCCTACCACTTTTTCTTCATTTACTTCTTCTTAGTAGTTGTAGTAGTAGTAGTAATAGCAGCAGTATCATAATAATCATTATTATTATCATTGTTATATTGATTATCATAGTAAATATCGTAATTATAATCATTATTATAGTAATTATATGTTATTGTTATTATTCTTATAGTTATTTGTATGCTTCTTCTTCTTATCATTATTATCGTATACACAATACGTCATGTGCCAAGAATTTATTGCTACGATACATCCAAGATGTCTACCAAAACTGTCAATTCGTTGCTGAAATATTATCAAGCCAAAAGAAGGAACATTAGAATTTCTATTTTAAATTGAAATAAATTATATAGGAGAAATAAATAGAGAATACAATCATGATTTTGGAACTAGGGGATTAACATGGACATAATGCACTTGTTTACATGACCACATTATCTCTTATTCATTCTACCTCCAATGTTTTCAGACTGTTTTCAAAACAATATCATGTTTGTCGATCATAGTTCTATGTAGCTTGATGTCTCATGGTAATTTAATCAATCTAAGCAACAATTTTTGAATTTTAGCGACAATCGTTCGCCATTGCTGCTCTTTAATACTATTATGACGTGCAGTAACAAATTGAAATTTCAGAACTCATGATAAATTCGTTTAACAGTTGATTCTACTTGGTTGATTCTATTGTTCGGATTATTTAGCAGAACGAGATAGAAATTGACATTCTCATGGCTTACGACTTTGCATTAGTGTTCATCGTCTCTACAATGCTATTTGGTGACAAAAGACGGCAAATCTATGTAGCGTCAAAAGCCGTCAAATAACGAAAACATGGCACATAAAAAGATCCTCAGTACTGGGTCTGATTTAAAGGAATCTTTATTTGAACCCGGCTATATTCTCTCTCTCACTCGTTTGTCATTGCCTTCATTTTCCCTCGCTTACTTCATTCTTACCACGGAATATGTAATGTGTATGTGTAGGCCTCATTATGTTAACTAGGGTCAATGGTCAAATTGTCTCAATATATCTTCATACATTCATAATGATCAAGGCTAAACAGTAGAAACTTGACATATGGATAGATCATAATGGGAGAAGCATTTTATATAACAATATGACATCGTGAAAATGCATTCTTCATTATGTAAATCGTATCACTTAATTCGTCAAAGTGACGAATTAAAGTCTAGTTATTATTATTATTATTATTATTATTATTATTATTATTATTATTATTATTAATTGAATTGATGAACTAAATCTTCCCTTGCGTACTTTTTTGCACAGCGCCATCTCATGGTCAACCTGCCAACAGTGCGTATAGCCCATTCAACGAACTCAAACCTGTTACTTGGATTTCGATGAGCCCATTACATAATTCTCACTTTGTCAAGAGAGGGCTCGATGCGGAATTCATTAGACCGGTGTATTAAAGGTACTATGTCCCATTTGCAGGCCAAAAAAATGAAAAAGTAAAATTCCAACTGCATTTGAAAGATAATACTAATTTAGAACTTCCCTAAAAAAAGTGGGGCTTGAAAATGTGTTCAAGTGGGAAAATAACGACTATTAGTTGTCAAATCGACTTTAGGGCTATAGAGCCCAAAGTAATAGTCTTGATTTTCAGACAAATGGACCGAATGGTCATATGTTTTATGCTGCGTAAAGATTAAATCAGTTTAATCTTGGCCATCACAAGAAGTGGGTTATTGATGTAGACAAATGCTCATGTACCCTTTACAACTCTTTTCATGTATGTTATTACCAAAGAAGAAAAAAAAGCCAGTCAGTCATTCAATAGTGTCTGACAGTGAAGTCTAGCAAGTAAACGGGTTTCCTTGCATAATTTGAATATGAGGACACTGCTAACGTTTAAATTTCACAGATAGGACATACATGACATATTCATAATTCCTGCAAAGTTCTACAGAATTTGAGGTTGGCTGCAAAAGGGACATAGTACCTTTAACATATTCAAATGTATGATTGTTCCTCTTCAGGGGACCCGGGCTGGGGACATACGTAGTGACGAGTTATTCTATTATTAATAGGTCGATGTTAATGAATGAACTACAATACATGAAATCCAGTCTGAATACATTATTTGTCGCTATGTCTGGCGAGCCTCGGCAGTCTGAATACATTATTTGTCGCTATGTCTGGCGAGCCTCGGCAGTCTGAATACATTATTTGTCGCTATGTCTGGCGAGCCTCGGCATCTGAATACATTATTTGTCGCTATGTCTGGCGAGCCTCGGCAGTCTGAATACATTATTTGTCGCTATGTCTGGCGAGCCTCGGGCAAGCTTCCGGGTTGTCAAAACGACCTTTGTCTAAAAATGAGAAACGAATTTTGAAAAGGCCTATGTCTATTACATCACAGCTAGGGAAGAAGCGAGTTTGGAACCATAATACCGCTACAGATTACCTGAGGTGGCGCTAGAGAGGACTTAATTTCCAGTAATGTCTCTTTATTATAAAGGGACAAGTTACTTTGCAGTAGTGTCCCTTTATAGCAGTGCTTCTAGTACTTTGATGTATGAATATTGAAGCTAATCTCAGCTCTGGTATGGGCATCGTTAGTCGAGTTAACATGGCTGAAGCCTGTAATTGATTCTGGATTGTTTATCCTGCAGTAGATTGATCGTTGAAATAATAACAATCCCAGGCCCCCCGACTCCGGGTCGGAATGACCGCATGCGTTTTACCAAAAGGTCCAATAAAGGGGTACTTTTCGTGCGACAAAGTCCGGCCCGAGAATTGTAAAAAAAAAAAAGGGGGGTGTATTTGACTTTTCACCCGGAGATTTCTTTAAAAAGGGTTTTTTTTCCTTTTTTCTCTCTTCTTTTTGGACTCCTGAGAAATTATTCCGAATTTAGGGGGGTACATTGAGCATTTTTCCGTATTTAGGGGGGTCTCCAAGGCAGGAAAAGGCCGCAAAAGGCCCGCGAAAGGGGGGTTCGGAAATGTTGGCAGTCCTCAGATAGCGGGTGCTTTCAAAAAGAGGGAACCAGCATACGCGTACCCTAAATAACACTGAGGGGGGGGGGGGGGCGGATAACAATCTCACAAAAGGCTTGCATTCTCATTTGCACATAGTGACGATGGTGACCGGTGTTAAGCACAATAGTGTCGGGCCTACTTAATAAATTACCTTTATTTCCTTGTCTTTCTATGCTCATTACTCAGCCCCTATACATTTTAAACCAACATCGCTTGGCACATGTCATTTGTTTGTTATCTTAAACATTCAGTGCAAGTTGTGTTGGATTCTTTGAGAATTTATTTTGTATCATTACCAGAACTACTGAGCTTATCTTTAAGCGAGAAATGCGTGTTATGTGCCCTCAATAATTATTGTTTGCGATTCTCTTCCCCTCACGCTTTTTAAAGAATGAAGACGGTCAAAGGACACAGCTTACTGTATATGTTTGTGAACAGAAGCGTAATCGCAGGGGGAAGGGGGCATGTACGTGCCCCTTCATTCATATTGAGAAAAAATGAACAGAATGAGGAAAAGAAAGGAAGAAAGGAAAGCGAGAGAATGAGAGGAGATGAGAGAGAGAGAGAAATGGAGGGGGAGGGGTTGTAACCTGAAAAGAAGGCATCCAAGATTACTGCCCCCTCCCATATATATATATACACACCCAATCGATGGCCAATTAATTTTCCATTTCATCCGCCCAGTAAAATTGGTGTCGCCCCAGTGATCCATACCGGTACCCCCTCTCAATGTCATACCCATGCTACCCCACTGTACCTGAGCATACATTATCTACCAGTCGATCGATATGAAAAAAAAATCATATATATATTGAGCGTATAACATCGCACGAAATATTTACAGTCACGGATATGACGCAATTGTGATATTTTTCATCAAGAGTTTCGATTCATTTGCGATAAATGCACGTTCTCACACTGCAATTAATTATTCTAAAAAAAACCGGGTATATAGAAACTTCTAAACTGTTTCGATGAAGATTTATTGACCACTTGACACTAAACCACAGTCACTTCGCTAAACCGATTCAAAACCGACCTCAAAGCGACCTAACTACATAATTCCTGGCCATTCGGGTAGTTTATTAATGTTTGTTTGTTGTTGCTGTTGTTGTTGTTGTTATTTTTAAAATAAGTTGTAATAATAATAACTTAGAAATAAAAAGATTATAAAAAGATTGGAAAGTAAATCAAACATAAATATGACCAGAATACTTTACCAAAATAATTATTAGGTGTTATTTAAGAAAAGAAGAAGGAAAAAAAAAGAGGGAAACAAACTATCATTATAACTGTTATGTTAAGTATGATTCAAGTGCTTTACGAAGCAAAACTTAATTTCAATTCTTTGTTATGACAATAATAATGTATTTGTGATTATGTAAATTTGATTTGTAGTATTGCATCTTTGACTGTAACCATGTATATATAATCAATAAATCCTCTGATGAGGCAAATACAAAATTAAAAAATAAACTTGTCACAAGTTCGTACCAAATTACATAGTCAGACAATCACACATTGCCATATAATATGATTCAGGATATCATATTTGGAATAAACAGGAATGTTTTATTGTTTATATAGGCCTAAGTAATATTTTCAGTTCATGTTGTTGTTGTTTTAGAGTAAAGATAAAGGTTATTAAAGAGAGAAAAGTTACAGGAAACTTTAACCTTACAAACAATTAACTAATCCTATAGAAAACAGAGAAGCACACTCGTCTGGTGCAGATTTGAACGAGATCGGACGAAAGATAAGAAAGTTATGAATTTTTGAGTGGTTAATTATCACCAAACATATGGGAAATTCCAATAGGCTGAATATGTTTTTTTTTCAATAAGGAAAGAACCCCCCCCCCCTTATTATTTTTGTAATATAAAACAAAAATTTTGCCAATGGCTGACCTAAAAAAGATGAACTTACCCCCCCCCCCCCCCCCCAACGGAGCAAAACGACAAATTTTCAAATTTCGAGACCAAACAAGATCCCCCCCCCCCTCCCCCCGCTTATTCAGCGGCGGCTGGCTGAGTCGTTGCGATTTTTTTTTTTTGGGGGGGGGGACCAAAACAAAAATAATAATTAACTCTAACCCCCGTTTATTCAGCGGCTGGCTGAATCGTTGCGAAATTTTCGGCCCGATTTAAAAAAAAATGTTGATTCCCCCCCCCCCCCCCCCCCCCCCCCCCCCCCCCCCCCCCCCCCTTGAAAAAAATCCCGCGTACGCCACTGGTACTACATGTAGACAAATGTAGGCGGGCCTCCTTTACTTGTCGGTATTTCGCTTGCATTGGTTAAGAACAACAGGTCGAAATGCATGACTGGTAATTGGTCATCTGTGCGTAATCACTGGAACAACCCTGGACAAAAGTTCTCTTGACCGAGACCATCTCCGAGTAACACTGTCCGAAGTCGCTCGGTCAACGGAAGATCGATTGATCGACCTATTCCTATGTTGCAGTGATTGTGAAATCCATAATCGGATGTTCATGTAATCCCTGCATGTTGTGGCGTTTGCTCCATAGGCCTGGACAGCAGAAGTGCGTTTAGCCAGCGCGAACTAACTTTGTTTTGTTTTCTGTGGGTTCTTCGAAGGATATGTTTACAAAGAGGATTTGGACCACGGGTGTTTGTTGGTTTATTTCAAGCCCTACATAGTGCGAAAGGAATTTGGCTATGGAGATGACGAATTATATATCTCTTACCTGTATATGCTTGGTTATGTATATGGATGGATATATAGCTTCTGATTAACTGAGGGCCTATACGGTATTATACATACTGCAAGTAAGTATATTGATACTTTATCGACGAATATACGTACGTTTTTATATAAAATATTGTCCTTAAATGGTATTTATATATTACAGAGTATTATGTTTTTACACTATCTGCACAATAATAAAAACAACTACTATAACTCCTGCTGCTGCGGATACTATTACTACTATATTAATACTACTACTACTTCTACTACTAGGCCTACTTCTATACTACTACTACATACCATTTACAATAACAACAACAACTACTACTATACTACTATTACTACTATTACTACTATTATAATACTGCTTCTACTAGCTACTATACTAATACCAATACATATATTACTATTTCTACTACTATACTACTACTACTACTATACTACTACTACTACTACTACTACTACTACTACTTCTACTACTACTACTGCTACTACTGCTGCTACGACAACATCAACAATATGTTACAAATACACTTATGAAATCATATCCTTTCCTATCCTTTCGGATATTCCGCCTGAGTAGAGTAAATTCAGACGCAAATACAAGTTTTAAAAAATAATTAAAAAACATCACCTAATGAAAATGATCTGAAATTTGGAACCGAATTTGGTAAACAGAGGAAGGTACACTCGGTCAGTGCAAGTCTGCCTCGAGAACTAATCACATTGCCAGAGCTTAACTCTGAAAATTGTGAGTAGATTTAAATTTGTAAGTTGGATAACTATATATTACGTAAAACCTATCGATCCAGATAAAGGAAATTACCAGTATGTCGTTTCCTTTATTTCCGTTTTCATTTAAAAAGAGGGAAAAATAGTATGCAGTGCAATTCATGGAATAAGGGACATCATGTTCTAACACAAAAAGTTGTAAATATAATAATAATAACAGATATGTCATGATGAATTCAAGACTAAGTTAAATATGGCAATATTGAAAAGAAGGAGAAACTTTCAAAGGCCCAATTAAGGTTGGGTTATTTGACTTATTTCAAATGCACTGAGAGTTTATTTTTGTGGCGAACAATTAAAACAAAAATTCTAGCACAAAAGGAGTAAAAAGTCAATAATTGAAAAATTACTGGGGAGTGTTTTTTCTTCTGAAAGAGCCTCGGATAATGTGCTATCCACAATATTATTTTGAGAAGGCGCTTAAGAAAACTACAGAAATTCATTATAGTTCTGTTACACGACAAAACAAGAGATCTATTCGCCACTACGAAACAATCCACTAACTAAATCAGCCATTTGTCATTTGAGATTCTGATAGCACAGTTTAGTTTTTAAACACTCATAACTTTCTTTGGTATACGATTTATTGCAAAGTTTTGACATGACGCCTTTAAAGGAGGTTGTAGGAGAATGGAGTGTCACGTGTGAAGATTTTGTTCAATGAAGTATCTGAATAAATAGGGGAAGAAAGAAAATAAAGAAGAAAAGAAAAAGAAGAACATTGCAAGTGTGTGCATGTGGTTGTATGCAGGTGACGTGTTCCATCCGTTTTGTTCATGAACTGGTCATCTTGAATTATTAAAAAAAAAAAAAAATTAAAATCGTTAAGACCCTCATAATGTTTATGAATATTTGGATATTAAAAAAAAAAAAAAAACCATTGAGGCTTTAAATTAATAAATGAATTAAAACTACTCATACCTCGAAAGTCAGTCATATGTACAGAATGTACTCAAACACGGTCAAACAACAGCTGATGAATGAATGTACTGGCATACAGCCTGCGATAATAGTCATGCGTAGTCTGAAAATATCATTTTAACGATCAAGATCTACTGTCTGTTAGTAATTAGCGCAGGTGCTACTCAAAACGACATCAGCGTGGATTATTCCGACATGGTTGTAATTCTCCTTTCCTTTCCCCTTTATCGAGTTGTGATCATTTTCTGTCGTTTTTGTTTTATTGTTTTTCTTAGGCCAAGTAAAAAATGGTTTCTCGTCCGGATTTTTCGAAAGTGCATGACGAGGAGAAGGGCGTCTACGTTGTTTCAAATAGCTTTGTTACGGAATACCCCCCCCCCCCAAAAAAAAAAAAAAAAAAAAATTCTAGTCATTCTATAACAAAGCTAGATCTATATGAAATTCAATATTTCATCAACTTGATGTTGATATTATTTTAAATCATGCACTTTTCACTATTTACAAAAGCTTTGTTGGAAAAGAATTTAAAGAGAAAAGAACAAAACAAAGACTTCTTCATATTTAGTTTTACCTATTGAATTATCGTTTGCAGATAGAAGAAAATATTTAAAAAACCATGTATATCCCTCCAGAAATGGAGGCAAGTGCTAAACATGTGAAGATGTTTATATTATTATGAGGAAATAAAGAAGACCAGAAATGGTTATTTGATGAATGGTTGATTGGAACCAAAATGTGGTGGTAGCACCTTATGTACCTTATCAGTAATTTGTAGACTTTTATAAAAACTACCCATAACAATACTCTCTCGAAAGATCAATCCGTACCGCTTGGAATTGACCTTTGATTACCAATACTCAATACTCACTTTTATTGTTATTACTGGCATCTTGTTTATTTTTTTTTATTTACATATATATATATATATATACATACACATATATATATATTTTAAATCACCATCTCAAACAACAATGTAATACTGTATTAAACTTTATTACTGTTTTGGTGGTGGCAGCACCAATAAAGCCTTTGGCTTTGCTAACTGTCTCCACATTCATATATATATTTTTGTTATTGTATTCTATTGTAAATGTTTCTCTTTAACTTGTACGCTATGTTTTGTATTGTATATGTTTGTTATGATGTTTTTTATGATGAATGAAATACATATCAATTCAATTTAATCAATCTTAATTGGCCCAATCTATTTTCTATGGGTTGATAGTGTCATGATCGAAAGTAATCATAGGTAAATAACTCCCTCTTTGATTTTGTTTTCTCTTCTGATATTAAAAATTAAAGCAGTTTCCTTTTCTTCCTGCATCGTGTTCTAATAATGAAAATGTTGTTATTGATAATAATAATCATAATAATAATAATAATAATTATAATAATAATAATGATGATGATGATGATGATGATGATGATGATAATAATAATAATAATGATAATAATAATGATAATAATAATAATAATAATAATAATAATAATAATACAAATAATAATAATAATAACAATAATACTGATGATGATGATGATGATGATGATAATAATAATAACAATAACAATAAAAATAACAATAACAATAATTGTAATGATAATTCAATCAATAATCCTCCCAAATGATATACCAAATCAACCAGTGTCTCTCTCTCTTTCTCTTCTCTCTTCTCTTTCTCTCAATTCCTCTTACCTCCTATCTCTCTCTCTCTGTCTCTCTCTCTCTGTCTCTCTGTCTCTCTCTCTCTCCACCTCCCCCTCTCTAGCTACCTGACAACAAGTTCAGCAAAACATCAACAAAGTACAAAAGCAACCGAGTGTATTTCTGAAGCTTATTGATTTGAAGCAAAGGAAACCTTTAAATACAAACTAAAAACAATTTTTTACAGGGATACATTTGATTTCCTTGCTGATAGTACATAGTGGTATTATGTAGATATATAACCAAACAATGAACATTATGCTTCATGTAGTAGCGTTGCATGGGTCCAAAAATGGGGGGGGGGGGGGGACCAGACCTGCTCAGTAGATGAATCGTAAATTGACAATATCATTTCTTGAAAAGAATGTGAAGGAGGAGACGTAGCAACTTCCTTTCATGTTCTCTTTCCTCTATCCTTTATCTTCTTTCCCGTCTTTTCCCCTTCCATTTTACATGGTGCCCCCCCCCCCCTTCAATGCCCCCTGTAGCTTTGCCATGCCACTGGCTAATGTACATATATGATCTAAACATTTGTACAAAAAAATCTATCATATATCAGTCATTAGCCCTGGGGCTTCTTGCGCAACACATTTTGTTTAGATGTATATAATTAAAAATAATATAAATAAACGAAAAGTCATGAATACATAATCCTGATAGATTAGGTATTGGCTTAAGTCGGGGTAATAATATGATTGTAAGGCCCTCAATGATTTTCATCATTATCATTTTCATTATCAAACCCCAACTCTTCGTGCTACAAGCCCCTGGTAAATTGGAACACATGGTAATATTATTTTAGCTGTGTTTTATCATACAGAGCTTCGTGAGACTGTTAGTGTGATGGGATGGATAATTGAAAATAAATGAAATAGAAAGGAGGTACAAACTATTAACTATTTTCGGATAAATTGACAATAGAATATCATGGCAGTGGCCCCAGAAAGTGGAAATTGGGAAGCTACCGTACTGAAACATTTTTAAAGACGTACATAGTAGCAAAAAGTGAGAGTGTAAAATAGCAGAGTGTAAAATAGAGGAAAAGATGGGGGTTGGAGGAGGGAAGCAGGAGATATAATGGAGATATATATATATATATATATATATATATATATATGTATAGGAAAGAACTTGAGCAGAGTTATGATGAAGGGAGGGAGAGAGAAAAAACAAGAGAAAGAGAGGAAGACAGCTAGGAAGGAGGGAGAGTGAGAAAAGAGAGAAAAAGAGAGAAAAAGGGAGAAAAGAGAGAAAAAGAGAGAAAATGAGGGAAAAGGAGAGAAAAGAGAGAAAAGAGAGAAAAAGAGAGAAAATGAGAGGGAGACAGCTAGGAAGGAGGTAGAGGGAGGGAGGGAGGGAGGGAGGGAGGGAGAGAGAAAATGTGTGAGAGCGAGAGAGAGAGAGAGAGAGAGAGAGAGCTAGAAAGGAGGGAGAGGGAGGGGGAGATGAAAGGAAAGAGAAGGAAAGAGAGGTAGAGAAAGAGAGAGAGAGAGAGAGAAGACAGAGAAAAATTATATAAGTCATTGTATTATCGCAGGAGGAAGGGGCCTAATGTAATCAAACTAATCTAGCATTATGAGGGGTTGACCAAAATTATCTTAATTAATTATAGGGTCAAGGTTATCATTGTTATATATTCTTGAAATATCTTTTAAGCAGTAAAAAGTTTGTTAACTCTCATATGAAGTATATCAACCCAAGTCCAACTTAGTCTGCAAGCACAGACCCAAATTTGACACTTTATCCAAAAAAAAAATCATTGTACCTTGAGAGAAGCCTAGCCCAGCTACCTACTGGTTGTGTCAATATAGGGTCTGTACAGGTTTATCAAAACTGTTTCGCACGGCCAAAATCAGGAGCAGCTACAGTACATGGCCTATGGTAGTCTTATAGTGCGGACTCACTTTTACGACTGACCAGGGTTTGTGCTTGCAGACTAAGTCCAACTTGGGGTCCATGTGTGCAGTTTTAGGTTATCCTTCACACTCATTACCTGTAAGCCCATAGAATTGGAAAGCGGTAAAACTAGTTTCTTGAGGTTAATGCATTCTAGCCGTACACATATTATTTTTGCAAGTGACTGGTGCCCTTTAAAGCTATGCTACTTAAATTCTATTAACAGTTCAACAATATACAAATATATACTTTTATATTTACAGATAATATATAAACAAAACCAAAGTTTCATTTCCTTTTGGAATAACAATGATCATAAGGTTTAGAGCATTCAATGAGTTCTTTTCTACAGGGTACCCATCAAAGGATATTCTGTACTTAAGAAATGTTAAGTCTCTTTCTGAAATCACATACCTGAAAAAAATGTCGCAAGAAATATTCATCCTTTCTTACGAACAGATTTGAAAATAGACAAACAAATGACAAACTTATAAACAAAAGATTTTTTTTTTAAATATCATTCCTAAGGGAGTTGGATACATGTATGTCACTCTGTTTACGTTAAGAGAAATATGAACTCCTTGTTATTTTATTAACAATCTTCTCCATAATATAACATCACTTTTCTCTTGCTCTTCTTTTTAAAACAAAATAGATTTCCAATCCGGTCAAAATCCATAGTCGACTGCTAGGAGCACACAACAGAAACCGAACACAGGAAGTTAGCCTTCTGCGCTGGTCTTGGATCCAGATTGGAGGCTTGGAACTAGAAGGACAAAGGAGGACCTGGACTAGACCTAGTCTAGCTTTTCGCTGTGATCTTGCACATATTGGCCTAGTAGTAGAAGACTCCAAATGCAGCCGCTACACAAAACAGAGAGTCCTGTAGAGATGGGAGGAGAAAAGATGAAAAGGAAAAAGAGAGGAAAGAAGCTCAGGTTAAAGAAGAGGCTCGGCCTGAACAAGAAGAAACAAGGTCGTCATGGCAACCAGTTTGAGATGGAGGATAAGATGGAGGGGGAATTTACATGTCTGGAGAAGCCTACTACAGATCATAAAGGTAGGTCTTTTAGGATACGCTACTTGACCGACGGCTCGCGAGACCATTGGCCCATCAGACCAAAGACTAGTGAACCTTAAAGGTAAAGACCAGTTTTGGAAATGCCCCCCTCTCAAAAAATGAAATGGAAGCTCTATTACCAATCATGTGAAAGAATATGTTTGACTAATACGTGATCATACAAATTTTGCAGAGAAACCGCCTACTAATTGATATATTTGGTAAATTATTATATCTATTTAGACCTGACAGATATAACGCACTTGTTACGCACGTGTTGGGATAGTCCCATATACATCTTTATCTTTAATGTCGGTCTCCTGGGCTGATGATCTCGAATCCTGTAATAAATTTTAGAAGGCCTGAAAAGTGGAATGTCAGTCTCATGCATTTGGTCATTGGTCTTTGGGATGATTGCTAGATCTCTTTGACATCTTTAAAGAGTATTTGTATAAGTATAAAATATATGTGTAAAAATATCTTTAATAGCTTTTCATATTTAGCCAATAAAACCGGTTGAATGCTTATATGGATTGAAAGGAAGATAACTATTTCATCATAACTTCAACATCACCTGGGGGGGGGGGGGGGTGTTTCACAAAGACTAAAATCGACATAGTTCAAGTCCAACTTAGGTTGATCTTAGTCTTTGTGAATTGAAACACTCCCCTGGTTATTAATCAAATATGAAACTTTAGTTTTATGAAATACAGAAAATAATGATAACATGAGGACAATTAAGACAGCAACTACTGACTATATCTTTCTTAGAAAGCAGGGAAAAATTAATATTTATTTTTCTGGGGCTACTTTTCAAGCTTGCCTGCATGAAAATAACACTCTAAAATTTGTTTTGCATTGAACTCTATGCAAATTTACGGGGGCTCTTTAGGGCATTTCATTCGTCCCGAGCCCCCATGTATTTATTCACTGTTCGAAATGAACAGAATATTTCAATTTTTCAGTATCCTTGCAAAAAAAAAAACACAGCACAACTTTACAAATGTACATGCATGTTTTTATTTAATCATTCTATAGCGAAGATGGAAGTAAATAAAACCTATATTTGTCGGGCGTCGTCCTGTACATTGCACTATGCCTGTTGGAAGGAAGTACCATAGAGAAACTGTAAGCATTCTGGAAGTAATACAAGAACACTGATGCTTCCCCTTGTATACAGATAATACAGTCATATGGGTAAAAAAAAGTTGACATACATGGACACCTGGTAGTAAAGCAATATCCATTATCACAACTTCACTCATTCCTGCCAAGTTTTCACTTCAGGAAGATAGACAAGTTTGATCTCTGTATATACATGTATGTTAAAAGTGTACACCCATGAACTCAGCGTCCAACACTACATGTACTTTTTTGCTTCTGTAAGTGGATTTTCTAATTTGTATGACTTTTTCTTGTAATTCTTTCCTTTTCTATTTAAAGCGCATAGGGACATGCTATCCTGTTATGTGTTATGCGCTATAAAAGAACTGAGTATTATTATTATTATTCATTAATCCCTCTGAGATATGACAGGAATGAGTGAATTTTGGGAAATTTGAGTCAAATATGTTTGTCTTTTCCCACATGTATATGTATAAACTTTCAGGCCCAACTGTATGCACATGCATGTGTAAGTAAGTAGCCTACAATGTGCCTGTTATTTGCGGTCGCCAAAACAGACCGGCAACTTCTTGGCCCCAGTGTACAAATTGCGTACATCGAGCTGCTGGGCAACGAAGAGATAAAGAAGACCTCCATTTTTCTACAAATTCAGTATACCTTACTTCTTATCTAGCTCCATTTATCTACCTAGCAGCACTTTATTACATATAAACAATCAACTTTATGATGGTTTAAGCAGATTTCAAGTCCGTTTATTTATACTTGAACAGTGAAACCTTGTTGTACAGCACTGTTATTTTAAGACTCGTTACAACAAGGTAATTGTATTGGTGCCTCTAGGTATCATATACTTTGTAAGTGATAGAAAACTTAAAGGGGCAGTCCACCCTGATATTAAGTTGCTTTTAATAGAAGCAGAAAAATGAGAGAAACAGGTCTATGAGAAAATAAGATGTTATGAATTTCGGAAGGTGAGGTGCAATCAACCAAACACAAATTGGCAACTCTGTGAAGTATCTTGCAAGCTTGATCCCCTTCCATTTGCACTGCACTAAAAAATAAAAAAACTCTATATTTTCCCTTAAAGGTACTACTGTAACATTTGCAGGCCAAAAAAATTAAAAGATTAAATTCCAAGGGCAATTGAAAGACAATACTAAATTAGAACTTCCTTCAAAACGAAAGGGCTTTAAAATGGCTTTCAGTTGGAAAATAACGACCATTAGTTTCCCTGTACAAGAAAACCAGTACAGACATGTACCAGACCAATAAAAAACAATGCTGAACTTTCTGATACCTGTCACATGTTTTCCTTGCATATCCAACGATACAACAATTCAAAATTTCACACTCTGCCATCCCCACCCAATAGCCTATATGTACGTATATACCGCTACCTACATTTCCTTTTATTGAAATTTCAGTTTTAGTATGAGTCAGAGAACATTTTCATTGTTACGATATATAGTTGGTATTTCCCTTCCTTTTTCTTTGTTTCCAAGGTCTTTTGTTTACAATAAAGGCATAAAGTGCAAGGATGCATGGAAATTTAATAGAAGTAATAATAGCTTTTTGGGGAAGAATTTGTTCCCTTAAAATCAAAGCAAAATGAAATAAGCCCCCCCCCCCCCCCCCCACCCAGCAATCTGGCATACCTTAATTAAAGGAAGGAGTGCAATCTGACAGTAAATTGGTTTCAATTAAAGCATTAAAAAAAAAAACGTTAGCCCACAGTATTGGCACATTTTTTTTTTTGGGGGGGGGGGGGGTGTGATTAAAACCCTTAAAATGTAATAATGAGACAAGAACAATGCTAATTAGGAGTATGAGTGAAAATTCTGAAGCATATCTATGATATAATAAATAGAGCCAGAAATATAAGAGGGGATAATGAACGACCTACAGTAGCTCTGGAAAGTTTCTGGAAAACTAAATAATATGCACAAGATATTTCACCAAAGGGAAAAAAAGACAACAACGTTACGGTAATAAAAAAGACAAATTAAGAAGGGAAGGGAACAATGTTAACTTACACTCATGTAAATATCCTGTGCATAGTTGTCAGTATCGGAGTCCCAGAAACATCTACAGCCCATCCTACAAAAGAAATAAAATACAATTTCATAAGCAAAAAGTTAAACAAATAAAAATCACAAATGGGGACACGACAAAAGCCTTCTTGATAGGAACTGCCATACAGTGTACATGCATGCCTCATAGTAATCGTGTGGTAGATATATACTCCCCAGGGAGTGGAGATGGTGCACCCATTGTGTGCATGAATGAATCCAATGACTGGGGTAATAATATCTCAGTGAGAGATATATGACAATGAAAAGTGTATTATAATATGCTTCACATTTTCTAATTATGTAGAGCTATTAAAGAGAAGGTTGAGTTCTGGGAAGAGGTGAAAAATAATTTGTGAGCGTTATCATTGTTATTATGCAAGTGTGGAAGAACAGCAGATAAGACATGTTCCCTGAAAAGCATGGCTCTTCAAATGCCTTTATATTCTAAATATGTCATGTAACATCGTAAAACTCGGGGGGTGGGATTTTGACGCCACGTGTTCGTGTAGTCCCATATACATCTTTCTGTGTATAGTGCTTGTAACTTTACGAAGAATGGGCCAAATTTCTTATCATTTTGATGATTCCAGAACCTTGCAGATGCTAGATGCTAGATGATCAACCTTTTCTGATCGATTCCACTACGTTTCTTTCACAATGCAATCGCATGACCAGAACTGGTCTTTACCTTTAAAGCACAAGTCCTTTGTTAACTGCAGTAGTTGCCATTCATTACAACACTTTAGACAAAATGCAGCATAGTTTTGGGGCCATTTACAGATTCATATCTTCAAGAGCCTTTAATTAATCTAGTTTGTGTCAGGATCAACTTGAATTAACCTTCAGTCTGGCAAGTTCCAGAGTGGTTTTGGTTTCAATTATTTACTCTGACCATTAATCTGTGAAAACGCAAGAAGAAGGATGACATACATGCAGTGAAACTTGTCTTTTAAAGTCGTCACCTGTTTGTAGTGGCCACCAGGCCCGTACGCAGGGGGGGGGGGGGGTTTTAATGTGTATAAACCCCCCTAAACCCCCCCCCCCCCTTTGGGTTTTTTTTTCTCTTTTTTTTAATAATAAAAAAAATAAAAAAATAAATAAATTCCCATTCCCAAGGTGACCTCCCCCCCCCCCCCCCCAATGGAGCAAAATGTCAAATTTTCAAATTTAGAGACCAAAAAAAAAAAAAAGTTACCCCCCCCCCCCCCCCCCCCCCCCCCCCCCCCTCCTGCTTATTCAGCGGCCGGCTGAGTCGTTGCGAAATTTTCGGCCCGATTTAAAAATGTTAAAACCCCCCCCCCCCCCCCCCCCCTTGAAAAAATCCTGCGTACACGCCTGGTGGCCACACATTTTATCTCCCTTGAGGGTGGAATGTGTATTGTAGAACCTGTCTAGAAAGGCCACCTGTCTACAATGTTCAAATGATTTTATTTCTCATGCAAAAGATAATACAATGAATTTAATTATATTACAAATGAAACGACAAATATAGTAGAAAAAAGCACGAGAAAAGAGGAACTAACTAGAGGCTGAGCTTGTTGAAGAGTTAGTTCCTCAGATGCTGTCTCACAATATAACATGAACAAAGTATGCTTAGAAAATCAATAAATGGAAAAAATAGGTAGCTAAGAAATTTTTGATTTTTTTTTTTTTGGGGGGGGGGGGAAATAAAAGAGAGGAAAAAATGGAGGAAAATAGTAGAAGACAAAAAGAGAAAGATACAAATGGCCACTTTCTTTGTCTCCCTTGAGTATTCTCAACAGACAGGTTTGACTGTACATATGTAAATGTACATGACTTTACAGAAAATCTAATGATGAGGTATTTGACAGTATAAATGCACCTAACGTACTGAGAAACGTTTGTTATATTGGAGTCCTCTAACCAAACTTCATGAGATCGTTATTTCAGTTGGTTTTTCTCCCTACATTTCTAGCCTGCTCATTTCCTCTCGGTTGTCATGGCAATAGAGGGAATGTATTTTATGAGGGAAACTGACCACTTTTGTGGCGTCAAAACACAATAATAATGACAGGAAATTTTGGGATGACAGGAAGTGATGGCCGGGTCTTCAGTACTACCATCTGTTAATATTTGTGTTTGGGTCAGGTCCCAGGTAAGGTGTTCACTAAACATAAGTCAGTTTGGTATGTACACTGTATGTACAGTCAAAACCGCTTTAGTGAACACCTGTATAGAAAGACCACCTGTCTATAAAGACCATCTATTTTATTTCCATGGATAGTGATCTTCATTGGAACAGCTTACTGCAAAGAAAAACCACCTGCCTATAAAGACTGCTTCTTGTGTTTCCTTTAAATGGGCATTGTCTTGATCTACAGGTTTTGCTGGATAATGATTGCGTACATGCAGGGGAGGGGGGGGGGTGGTAAAGGGGCATTTAATCCCCTTTCATCATAAAAAAAAAACTTTCCCCAAAGAGAAATATAGAGTTAAAACTGCTTTAGTGACCACCTGTATTATAAAGACCACTTTTCATGTCTCCCTTGAGCAGTCTTTACATACAGGTTTCACTGTTAGAACAAATAAATGTATTTTCGATTGGATAAGGAGAAACAACTCATCCTGAATACCAGCGTTCAGATAAGTAATTACGCAAAAAATTTGTAGAATATTAATGTTTCTTTGTAATAGTTTCCTCTGGTGTAAAAGGGGCTATACTCAACTAGTAATACAAAGGTGTTTAATAAGACACACCCATGGTGTATGATAAACTCCTGGGAAGCAATCAATTGAGGGAATTGGGTCGATCAGCTAGGCTCTGTAAGTTTCGCGACAATTATCTTAGGATGATAGGCATGTGATATCAGCTCACATTTTACATTTGTCATACACAGACAATGTACATGACAATGTTGTATGACTCAGAGTCAGAAAGGGAAAGAGAGAGAGAGAGAGAGAGAGAAAGAGTGAGAGAGAGAAAAGAGAGAGAGAGAGAGAGGGGGAGAGAGAGTGAGAGAGAAAAGAGAGAGAGAGAGGGAGAGAGAGAGAGAGAGGGGGGAGAGAGAGAGTGAGAAAGAAAAGAGAGAGAGAGGGGGAGAGAGAGAGTGAGAGAGAAAAAGAGACAGAGAAGAGAGAGAGAGAGCTAGGCAGAGTGAGGGGGGTGGGGGGAGGGGGGGGGGGAGGTATGGACAGAAAAAAACAGACAGAAACAGAGTATGAATGGATGGCTGTAACAGAGCCATCTATACACAGAGTTTGGCCAACCCGATTCGAGTTGGACACAATATGGCGACTACTGCTTTGTTGGGCAAGCACAAAACAAAAGAATATACGCCATGTTGTGATCGACCCAGGGAAACCAAGTTTGCCAAACTTTGTATATAGATGGCTCTGGGCTCTAATAATCCAGAGCACCCTCTCTTGTCCATTTCCTTATATTAATATTAACTCAAAGTTATCTCTTGTAAATGAAATGTATTTCTCATGGCATTACATGTTTTAACTAGCAAACATCAGATGCAATTAGAAACTATATATACTATACTACTAGGCCAGAAAGGATTAGACCACACAGCGAGGTCACTGACAGGTGGCTATCTCATTAACTCAGCTCTCAACTAACATAAGGAAAAGAGGATCATGGGGTACAAACAGGCACCGATTGGGGAAGTTTTCTATATTCAGAGGGCGCAAGTAGCTACAAGTAGGACAGTGGGGCTTTAACTTGCTGTTGTCTCTCCATTTCAAACATGAGAATAAACAATCATCCCTGTTCTTCATTTGTCTTGCTTAGTAAAAGAAGACTTTTAAAATGCCTGGGTCCCTTTTTGAATAATTATTTACTTTTTTTACATAGTGAACTAAAAGCGTTCCATCTGATACAAACAATAAATACTACAAACAGCCATGAGAGAGAGAGTTTTACTAGTGGGCGACGCACTACTACCATGAAAAATAATTACCTCAGGTAATTAAAGGTATAGACTAGTTTTGGAAACGCCCCCCTCTCAAAAACTGAAATGGAAGCTCTTATTACCAATCATATGAAAGAATATGTTTTGACTAATACGTGATGATACAAGTTTGGCCGGGAAACCACCTACTAATTGATTAATTTGGTAAATTATCATTATATCTATCCGGACTTGGTAGATATCGCGTAGTGCCATATACGTCTTTCTGTATACAGTGCTTGTAACTTTACCAAGACTGGGCCAAATTTCTTATCATTTTGATGATTCCAGAACCTTGCAGTATACACACCAATACTTACAGTATACGCTAGATGATCAACCTTTTCTGATCGATTCCACAACGTTTCTTTCACAATGCAATTGCATGACCAGAACTGGTCTATACCTTTAAGACACTGATTAGAGAATATATAAATCAAGTAGAATCACTACTTACTTGACTCCTTCACCTCTCTGTTCTCCTATCACGACTTGGATGATGAACTTGTAGCGGTCTAATTCGAGTTCTGCAAAGACACACAAAGAATTGATGAGCAAAACAGAGAGATTACTTTCCTTACCTCCTAATGCTCCAATCAGCAACAACATTCTACATGTATGCTTTAGGCTTTCAAGTTTAATATAAATGGATATAATTCTGTAACCTTTTGAAGAGACACATGTATGTAGGTACAGGAAGTGACATTATTCTTGTTTTTCACCTTCTTATTGTAGTTAATTATTTGTTGTGGCTTGCTATTTTGTGCTATTCATTTATTTAAAAGGAGAGGGGGGGGGGGGTCAGTGTTTCCAGATGTTCTTTGGTGCACATAACAGTTCCTGACTACACACGATGAACAATTTTTTTTCTCATGTTTTAAAGCCAAAGTTGCTTGTGCTATTCATAGTTACATAGATACAGGCCAATTAATGTATTGGGCTTTAATACTTCAAAGCACCGGTGGGGTTGGGGGGTTGGGTGGTTGCGCTACCCGACCTTTCGTGAAAACATGCCCCTTTATTCACAAAATGTCGGGGGTAATGTGTGTAAAATAAACCCCTCTCATCTAAAAATGGTCTGGTCTGATTTCCCTAACATTTTGTGAGAACCCTTTGGTAAATCTACGAAAGGCGCCATCGTTTTAAAGTTAACGTGCATCTTCACATTTTTTGTTTCACAAAAGATTGTGTAACACGACCACCTGACCGGACGCAATGCCCCAATGTTTTGAAGTAGCCTAAGTGTCTTGCCCCCTTCTCCTAACTCCGCAGGAACACCCATGCATACCTTTTAACCTTTCCTTAATCTTCTCACTGATTTGCTTGCACCAGGCAGTCGTCTCCTCTGCACTGTACTGCTTGTCCGTTAGCTCCTCGTTGAGTACGGTGTGGATCACTGCCTTGACTGCAGCAGAGCGAAATCTAAAGTGAATAAAGGAATCAAACTTGGTCATGCTAGTATTCAATATGGGAATCTATGACTTAGAGTACGTTTACAATATTTTTTGTTTTATTTGCTTGTTTTATTGTTCCATATTCCACAAAATAAAATTGTCTCACACATAAGTTTTAACAAGAGAATCCATAATAAAACAATGATAGACATGATGATCATGTGAAATATGGGGAAGCTATCCAGAAGCAAAGCTTGTATTTATAGTTTTCTGAATGAAATACAAAAATATTGGAACTGAATTTGATAGCAAGAAAGACATAAAATAAAGATTGAGTCACTGATACAGAAGTAAAATGACCATGGTGCAAGACTTGGAAGCTGGGAAATTGCAAAATTCTTGATCATTTCATGCAAGCAAAATTGTCATGTTTTCTTACGAATGTCACATTTCTCTTCTTAACTTATGAGTTGAATAACATAGGGTCTAATTATTGTGATTAGTCTATTATTATTAAACAAGATCTGAAAGACTATCAAATGACCCTAAATATCCCACCCTCATAAGTTTGAACTTGAAGCAAACAAATACATGTTCATAGAAATGTGTACAGGCCACATAAGCATGTAATACAAGGTCATTGAAATAACTTGATGACTGAAGTCACTGATGCCTTAATTGTTGGCTCACTTGGCTGAATGAAACCATCCGGCCACAGCCACTTTGTATCAGCACAGGAAAATGAATAGATGGGACTGTAGACAAAGAACTGAAACTTACTTCTTCAGGAAATTTGGACGGATCGTGTAGGTATTTGGAGCGGCGGGCTCCTCCTTAACCGGTTCTATAGTTGCGTTTTCTTCCACCTCCGTCATGTTGATGAAATAATTACTTATTTTTTCGGAAATAGACGGTTGTATTAACGTTGAAAAATGACACAACTCACTCAAGACGAGAGCGCGTAACCCATGTCAACAATGATACTTAACGACGAGTTTCTCCCTCTCGAATTCCTCGAATTTAGGTTGTATTGTAATAAAGTATATATCAAAATGATTCTATGAATGGTGACAAGCTCACTGGTATATCACGAATTATACCAGGTTTATCCAGAAAAATAGAAAAGAAATGTGTAAAATTATTCTCCTATCTCCAATCGAGACCGGTCTAATTTTATCGACTCGATACAAAAAATTACTTCGGTAGTTAAAATGTTTCTGACGACAGATGGCGGTATAACAGAAACAGCGCGAAAGATTGTGCGGATCCTGAAAATTTCCCACGGTATGTTTAAGAATTAATTACCGGTGTGAAAACGATGGAGGAACGAAGTTATGCTACATCTGGAACTTAATATATCTGATATGGAAAGGTTGTCATCATGTGTAGACTATTCTCTCGTCGCCAGGAGGGTTTAAAGATGCCGTCGACGTAATTTGTTGGATTAAACATTGGAACGATCTGTGTGTTTTAAGACCAGCTTGACCGTAGTAGTGGTGGTGTCGGCTTGTGCATCTGCAGGCAGGTGGTTTTGTTGTTGGAAGCGGACATGTCTTCCTCGACTGCTAGCTCGGATACCGAGGGATGCGGTAAGTCTCCTTTTTATAGAAATCAACTCTTGATTAAAATGAGCGCAGCCTGTTTCAAGAAAAACATTCTATACTATAGCATAACATCTACTAGGGTCTAATTCATTGTATTTTCTTGTAAGACATACAAATAGAATGCATAGTTCTAGCAAAAGAGAGAAGAAAATCTGTTCTCAGTCATGTCGGTCTTGAAATTTGTTAATTTTACTACCAGTTTACTTGATCCTGACCATGTCGACAAAGATACAAATGCTTGCATTTACATGATTTTGTGATGATCGTGTTCCGGATGGAGATGACTCATCGCATTCCAAATGCCATAAATGTCATGCAAGCATGTTGTCTGATGTCATGGACCAGTGGTGGTGTATGGTAGTGATGACGCAGACAAGGATGATGATGATGGAAATGATGATGGTGATGACAATGAAGATGGTGCATGGTGATGGTTTTGGAAGTGATACAGATGAGATGGTCATTATGCGGGATTATACTGGATGGAAGGAGGAGGATGATGATAATGTTGATGATTTTTTTATGATGATGATGATGATGACGATGCTGCTGCTACCGATGATGATGGTAATGTTGATGATGTTGATGTTGATGTTGAGGATGGTGATGATGAAAGTAATTACGATGGTGGTGATGGTTTTGGTACTTTTTAGTGATGCAGATGATGATGATTAGGTCATTGGTGATGGCAAAGGCGATGAGAATGATGATGATACGGTTTATGATGATGAGGAGGATAGGGGAGGAGGAGGAGGAGGAGGAGAGGAGGAGGAGAAGATGATGTGGATCTACTCGGGTATCAATGTTAGTGGTAGAACTTATACATGTAGCTCTGCTTGGAGGAGTTTTAATATATATTTTGACTTTTGCTGCTTTCCTCCTTTTCCACATAGCGGAAAACTACTTTTTTCGGTCTATACACCATGTATGCTAGTGGCTGATCTGATAATATTAATAATCTGAAATATTAATTTGCTATTGTCGTGCTGAGATTTTTAAAGGCCAATTCTGCACAGATACATGTAGATAATACCAAAATACTTTCTTTGAAAAATTGAGGAACACATACATGTATAATGTGCATATTATGGAGACATGTACATTGTATGCTGTACACGTGTACATTGTACGAATGTATAATTTACACTGAATTTAAATTGATACTGCAAGTACATGTAGACCATGAACATAAATTACAGAACATTACGTACAAATGTCATGTCACATGTGTTTCATTGTTTTATTTGCAAGAAGTTGAATGGGGAATATCTCTAAATGGATTGGTTATGATATTGATATGTCGTCATCAATGTACTTGATATTGATCCTAGAATAGTATTTCTTCCCACCACAAGTATCAGGGTTAGTCCACTAGATACATGTACATGTATTTAGTCATTTTGCGAGACCCCATACATGTACATTACCAAGGATTATTGTGCAGTAACTTAAATGTCTTGATCGAGATCTACATGTACAAATGTATGTAAAGTATCATTTTAATTTAACAGTATAATAACAGTCGTTGCTAGGTAGGGCAAACGTTATGGCTTCTCCTACCTAACAACATGGTAATATAATGCAATTCACATTCTAGCTATTTGAATTACAATTATTCATAACGGGTGAATGAAATATTTTGTAACATGGCACTTTATAACAAAGATTTTTGCTTTAAATTTGATTACATTACGAAAATGGTGTATTCTAGCTCGTGAATTCACTGAATGGTATTTGAAGCCCGCCCCTAGCTCCCCTGACTCTTGGGACAGCGGGACTGCTTGCATGTTTCCAAAATCTCTGGTAAAGGGTTACTTTTTCGCAGGGCAAAGTCCGGCCCGCCATTGACCTTCACACTGGAGAAAGGGGGGGGGGGGGTGCTTTCAAAAAGAAGGAACATGCATTTGGTACCCTAAATAACACTGAGGGGGGATTTGAAGAAACTGAACAGTCTCCAGCAAAAACTTGTGCAAGGTTGGTATTGGATTCAAATAAAGTAGGAAGAGACTGCACTCTTTGGACTGGTACAGCCATTGCATTTCATTTCCTGATGAAAGGATCTAACCATGGACCCTTCTAGTAGGGTCCATGATCTAACCAACTCTTTTATTTACATGACAATAGTTCTGTTGTAGGTGCCTCGAACGGGAGGCTGGAGTCGTTGAAAGAACATTGATTATTTCGGATTCTTCTCGAGTTCCATTAATGTTTTCTGTGGGGAGCCGTGTCTATATGGGGAATGGTAAATGTAACACTGTATTTTTTAAGTTGAATCAAAATATCACTTTAAAAAAAACATAAATCAATCATATGAAACATCTTTAATGTTGGTTACAATGTCTTTTCTGAGCTTTTGAAATTTTGCCTGAAACTTTAACTTAATAGTACAGTCAACCTGCTTTAGAGACCACCTGTACATAAAGATCACCTGCCTATAAAGACCACATACTTAATTGTTTCCTTCGAATATGGTTTCTTATTAAAAGTACCTGCACTATAATGTACATAAATACCACCTGCCTGTAAAAACACATTTCATACTTCAATGAGAAACTATGTTCAAGGGAAACAAAATGTGGGTCTTTATAAATAAGACGTCTTTCTATGCAGGTGGTCGCTAAAGCAGTTTTGACTGTGTGTAATTTATAAATGCTGTAGGCATTCTTATTTCAATCTCAATTCAGTTGTTTTATTATATTGTAGATTTTGTTATCGCAGCAATATGTTGCGTACAGTAATTGTGAAAATATTCACAAATTGATAATAAATACATCAAAATACATCAAAATACATCAAAACACAATTTCAGCAAAATTTGCAAGTATTATAACAGCACTGGTGATATAAAAGCATTTATATGACAGGTGAAGTGCAGTGAATACAACTGAGCGAGCAGCATATGGGCGAGCACTTTACCCCTGGCAATACAGTGTAACAACTAACAACTGGGCTTTGCATGCATAATGCACAAGTTTTTTTAATTCAGAGCATGACACAATACACATGTAATATGACTCTGGATTCATACTGTGCCATCCATTATCATCCATTAGCTAGTTGCCCTTTAATATCTGTCAACCTAATTACATGTATAATAGTAATATTAGTAGTCATGAATTAAATGTACAGTCAAAAACTAAATTATTCATACTCCTCGTAAATTTGATTTTTTTTTTGTGTGTGTGTGTGTGTGTATCTCAAGAATAAAAGGCAGACTGGTTGAATGAGGGCCTTTGTTGAAACAGTTGATTACTTTTAAGATATAAGCTTTAATTTGTCACATTCTCAAAAAACATAAATCAGGACAAATCAATTTTTAACATATAAACAAAAATACGAAACTTGGTAAGGGTATGAATTATTCAGTTGTTAACTATATGTCAGATTTTGTTTGACTGTGACATACATGTACATGTACATGAATATAACAACTTAATTATTCATACCCTTACCTAGTTTTTGTATAAGTGTGTGAAAAATTGAATTGTCCCAATTTATGTTTCTTGAGAACGTGACATATTAAAGTTTACATCTTAACGCAGACCTATAAACCCTACATAGATTCTATCATGCATTAGCAGAACAAAGCTGGTAACCAGGGGCCAGTTTCTCGAAACTGTCATAAGTGCAAGTTCTCGGAGTATTGTGTTATTGCTATCACACATGACTCTATGGGACGTCCAAGGAAAATAGATTTAATGACAGTTTCGAGAAATGGCCCCCGAAGGTTCTGAAGAGAAACATGCATTGAAATATATAGGACTCTGTATTAAAATCTAAAAAGCTTTTTTGTTCTCCCTAGTTGAAACATGAAAACTGTTCTGTACATAAATGTACAACAAATTGATAAGTTTCATCATAATGTTAACCAACAAAGTGCAACTTTTAATCTGTTTTTAGGTTTTAATTAATTCCACTTTTTTACTAGATGCAAGACCGTAAGGTAATCATTTGCCCTATAGCTTGCCAAAACTCCCATGTAAATGTAGTTGTGGTAAATTCTGTGTGACCCATTTACGTGTAGCTTTATCAAAATGTGTCATGAGTAAAGTCATGAGGCATTAAGTCAATACTAAATATGACAACAATGATTTCTTGCATTAATTACTCATTTTGATAAAGAAATTTTGACAATAGCCCATGTACAATACAATCACAAAAAATGCAAACTTGTGCAAAGTCACACTCGTAAAACAAATAGAATTTGAACCCTTTTTTATGAGCAATCCATTGTGTATGATGACTAATGAATCGATTGTACAGTTCTACAGTGCAGATCTACATGACAAATGAAAAAAGCACACTGATTTGTAATTCCAAAACTTAGAGAAGTTATGAAACCCATTTACAATGTACATCAGAACAATTTATTTGTTTGTTTAGAAGTACAGATAATCAAGCTCTTGGGAGGGGGAAGGCCCCCCCCCTTATATGCCGGTATGTTTTTTTGCATTACCGGTAAACTTTAATCAGAGTCAGTTTGAATCTCACCGCGAATTCAATACTGTTATAATGTAAATGTATTCTCTAGCTCAAAGCAGTTAGTATTGCTCTTAATTACACAACAAACATTACAGACAGGAATGCAGGGAGGGGGGTG